ACTGGCAGGAAAGGATGAGGTCCTGTCTGGACACGTGGGTTTGGAAGGCAAGGGAGTGATGCAAAGCTCCTTCCTGAGCTCCCAACTCATCCCTGTAGCCCATGGAGCCAGCTCCCAGCCCTGACCCCTCACCATTATTCATGAGAGCCCGGTGGTGTCATTTAACAAGCCTAATAGTTAGAAAATACCACGAGGTTCAAAAGCAGAGAGGCTGCTCAGAGGCTGATGAAGGAGGGAAGAGATGGTGGGATCCAAATCCTGCCTTCTCTTGGGTGGCAAAGCAGGATGTGCCCAGGGCTGTGTATTCTATCCCCATCTGTTCACCCAGCTGGGGCAGTGTTCTTTATCTTGCCCACAGCCCATCCTCCCTCCAGGAGATCTCTCCTGTTCATGGCCATGCAGTCCCAGGGCAGGGCTGATCAAATTCCATCATCCCATTGGGAGATGCTCCAGCCAGGGCAGGAGCCGAGCATTTCCTACCCAGATCAAAGGTGAGATTTGGAACAGCAGAGCAGCCTTTTCCCACTGGATCCCAGAGGAAAACCAGAGCCTTGCACATCATCCCTGCAGCTTTGGAGGAAAACTGCACCTTGTGCAGGAGCCCTGCTCCAGCAGAACCACATCTGTCACTGCAGGAGGATGCAGCCACCATGGAATGGGACTGCACCAACCCTGACTGACTGATGGGGGGCAGGTTGTGTTCTGACTCTGGCAGTGTTCTGGTTTTTTTTTTTTTGGTAATACTGTATTTCTATTTTAATTTTTCCTAGTAAAGAACTGTTTTTCCTATTCTCATATCTTTGCCTGAGAGCCCCTTAATTTCAAAGTGATAATAATTTGGAGGGAGGGGGTTTATTTTCCATTTCAAGAGAGGCTCCTGCCTTTCTTAGCAGAAACCTGTCTTTCAAACCAAGACATACCTGCAGCAGGAGGGGACAGCCAAAGCCTGGCTCGTCCCTGTGTGAGCAACCTCCTCTGGCAGCAGCAGATTTAGGGGCTGCAGCCCAGGAGTGACTCACTGAGTTCCCCTCAGCCCATCCCACTCCCAGGGATCCAGCAGCATCCACCCCCCAAGCTGGCTCTCAGCAAATTCTCTCCTTCCCTTTCAAAATGCTGGAGATGAGGATGGCACACGGGGGGAACTCCCAGCCCCTGGGTACTTGTCAGTTATCCCTCAGATGCTGCAGCTAATTATTTTTATCCTTCACGAGTCGTGTGGCATTCCAGAGGTGCGGAAAATAGGACATTCCATATCAATAGACATCTCTCTCTCTCTCTCTCTCTCTCTCTCTCTGGTGTGGGCTAATGGTGCCTGTAAATTGCTGCTCCGTGTCAGGGGATCACTGTTCCTAATCAGGCTGAGATTTCTGATGGGCTCCACGCCGACCACATTTCTTCCTCCCCTGCTTTGCTCCAGGGGGAAATGCAGGATGTTTGCTCCAGTGACAGAAGATTTTCCTTCCCCTTGTGCCCATCTCAGTCCATTATGGGCTTGCAGGACTCTGGCAGAAGAGAGGCAGGAGTCTCTGGGAAGGGATGCATGGACTGGAATGCCATTCCTTTTTCGGCCTGCACACCACCAGAACCATCTGAAAAGTGTCTCACAAGGAGGCAAACGACTGCTTTGGCTCTGCAAGCACATGGTTGTCTCCTGCTCATGACTGTTTTTGAGAAGTAGAAAGTGGTGAAGACCAGAAGGTGAATTTGTGCTTTCCCTGGGCTCATTCCTCCTGTGCTCAAGACCTTTGGCCCTGAGGGCTGTGAATGGTGGGGAGTTTTTCAGGAATGGGGGGCAGGTGGTGGGGGTGAGCTGTGAGTGCTCTCCATACCCAGAGAGCCTCCAAGGCCGTTGTGACCACGGCATTGTCTGTTCTGGGTGAGGATGGTGGTCACGGACCTGGGGGTACCACAGCGACCTGGGAGCTCTGCCCACACACAGGAATTCGGGTGGTGACAATACCTGGCAGAGGAGAATGTGTTTGTTTCCCATCAAACAAACAAACAAACCAAGCAGATCTGCTTCCAGCTCCTCCAGGCAGCGACAGAGGAGCTGGTTTGTTGTTTACCCACTCGGAGAGGAGATAAGGTTAGGAAATCATAGCTGGCTTCTGCAATCCTAAGGGGCAGAGCAAAGCTCAATCTGGCAGATGAATCACTCGCTATTGACTGCTCTTCTCAACAATTCTTCCATTTCAAGAGAAACTTCCAAAACATACACAAATATTTCCACCCAGGCCACAGCGGTGCTCGATGCTCTCCTGCAGATCCCACCTCTACCTCACCAGGAGTTGCTGCAAGTCCGGTTGCAGCAGGGCCAGGGCAGGTCCCAAGACATCCTCTGCTCCTGGAGAAGATTTTTGGAAGTCAGTCACTGCCATCACAGCCATGGGCCAGGTAGGAGATGTGCAGGCAGGGATGTCAGGTCTCAGCACAGGCTGCCTCGTCACAGCTGGATGCAAACTACCATTTGCATTAGGTTAAAATCTTGAGTAAATTGAAATCACAGCAACATCTGCTGCTTTTTCATTAGGCTTGTGTTGACACCAGAGGAGGGGGACCTTGGAAAGACAGATGGGAAGGAGGGGGAAAGGTGGATTGACTCAGCACAGGCTCTTGAATTGCCTCTGGCAGGAGCCCTGGGCTGGTCCCAGGCTGGGCTTCGCAGTTTGGGCAAAATGACCTCAAACAAGAAGCTCCACCTTGAGCTCTGCTTTCCACCCCAGAGACCCCTCTCAGGGAATGCAGGGCACAGGTGTCCACCTAAGGAGTCACCTCCTTCCCAGAAATGGGTCCTATGGCACATCCAAGAGAGCTCCCAGGGGTCTTGGGTTGCTCTTGAGAGAGCCTTGCTCGGCTTCTGCAGAGCAGAAGGGATGGGAGTGAACATCTGCCAGCAAACTGAGCGTCACCAAATCCACAGCAGCTGTACCCTGCTTGTCACATCATCTCTCACTCTTCTTCCAGCCCAGATTCTAAACCCATCAGAGGCGAGGAGGAGCAGAGCTTTTCATCACAGAAAAATCAACACATTGCTCGTCCTCAGCACTGCAAAGCTTTGGAACTGACCCTGGCGCGCTCCACCAATAACAGAGGCAAAGCAGTTTTATTTTCACTAAAAATTCCCTCTTTTCTTCGTGCAGTCTCAAGGCTTTGGGGACCTGACATCTGATTCTGGAGTGCCACTTGTGCAGCGCAGCTGTTTCTCAAACAAACCCAGCTCAAGAAAAAAAAAAAAGGTTATACACGTCTGCAAACAGCCTGCCTTGTGTTAGAGCTTGTTTGGAGGATTGTTTGTGGAGAAAAAAACACACTGAGGAGCATTTGTTGGGCTGTCCAGCTCTAGTCACTGTAATCACCAACTTGGGGCTGCCTCCAGAGTGGCTGTTCCCACTGCATTCCATTCGGGGAGAGCACCCACAGCACCCACCAGGGTCCTGGCTGTGGCACTGCCAGCACATTCACACCATCTGCAGCCATGGAAGGGAGGGAAAGCCTTGGCTGTGGGAAATTATGGACTGGTTTTTGGGGGACATGACTCTGTGGGAGCCATGGGCAGGAAGATGCTGCAGGTTCGGATGGGTCCCCTGAGAGCACAGGAGTGATGGGCTCACAGCCCCAGCCCCCAGTACCAACGAACTGGGACTGTGCTGAGGACACAGCTGCCACCTTTACCTGCTGGGGAGACACCAGCAAGTGCCAGTGGCCACCTCAGCCCTGGTCACTGCACTCCAGGGCTGGAACCAGCACCACAGTGCAAAACCAGGAGCATCCTCAGAGCCTGGGGCTTTGTTCCACACACAGAGCTGTCCCTGCAGGTCCCTCCCTCACACCGTGCCACCCACCAGCATCATTCCAGGATTTCCCGGGCTGTGGCTCATCCTGGCCATGCCAAGTCCTGTCAGCTCCTCTCGGAGGGCTCACACGAGCTCATCAGGACTGTGGTTGACACTGGTATTTGCCTCCTGAGGCAGTCATTAGTTTGTCATTTCTCTGGCGATTTTGTTCTCATCAACATCCCCAAAGAGAAAGAGATGACTGTTCCCATTTGTCTGAGAGGAGTGTCCAAGTTGGGTGCCCTAGCAAAACCAGGGATTAACACAACAATTCCTTTGTCCTTGTTTGCTCTTGTCCATGTTTGGGGCCCAAGCAGAGAGCAGTCAGAGCTGGCAATGAGCTGCAAAAATCGTCTGGAGATCCTGACCAGGATGAGCAACACTGCCAGGTCAGGAGAGCAGGAATACTTCAGAAAAAATGACTCATTCCAGTTGAGAAAACGATGCTGCTGCCCCTGCCCTGGGCTCATTTTGTACCAATTCAATTCACACTTGCTGTGCTGCACTAATGCAAAGGCAGGATGAGGAGCAGGGCAGGAACCTGACACGGGGGTTCAGCTCTGCCCTGCCTGGAGCAGGGCTGGTTTCTCCTTTGTTGGATCCTCGAATGGGTCGAATAGATTTAGAAACCCAGCTTGAGGTGGCTGCCTGTTCCCGACAATCCCTGAGTGCTCTCTGCAAATAAAACCCCCGACACTCGCCAGATTTCAAAAGTGATTTGGATGAAGGAATTGTCCCCAAAGCAAGAAGAGCTGTTAATTTTCTCCTTCACTGCAGCAAGGCTGCTGGAGGAATGGGGTGGGGCTCCAGGCAGATGTCCCAGCCCTGCCTGGGTGGCATCGCTGGGTAATTCACAGCTCTCGTGAATATTCAGGTGTGATGTGAATAAAGAATACCCACTTTCCTTCTCTGATTCCCCAGGGCAGGACCTGCAGGGGGAAAATCCTCTAACACAACCATCGCCAGCCCCACAGGGGAGGTATCCCACGTGTCCCCAATGGACACTGGCAGCACCAGCCCCTCCAGTCCTGTCACCCCATGAGCAGGGCAGGGGTCCCTGCTGACTGCCAGCTCTGCAGGCACTGAGATAAGCAGGCAAAACCCCACCAGAATCCATGGTGCCTGCATAGAACGAACAATAAACTCCAACATTTCATTCTGGACAGACAAGATGGAATGTTTCAGTTTTCCAATGACAAAAAACCTGAAAAATGAAGATTTTTCACCTAATTTTAACTTAGTCATTTCTTTTCTTTCTTCTCCTCTGGAGGAAAGAAATGGAGGAAAGAAGAGGACAAAGCTTAAAACCTTAGCAACAACTTCATGTTGCTCCACTGAAACCAAGGAGGAAAATGAGCATCTTGACCTGTTCATTGGTAAACTTTTCATCCCAGCTGCTGCATCTTCCCAGAGTATTTCCCCAAAGCCCATGGGAAGCATGCCCTGTGTCCATGTCCCTCCCACACCAATGGCATGTCTATATTAACAGCATGCTTGGTGCTGCAGCAGTGCCACCACCCCCCTGCTCCTGGCCTGGGTTTGCCCATCTAGAGGCAAACTGAGAATTCCAGTTCAAAGTGGAGCTGCCTGGATGGAGGCTCAGCCTGCAGGAACTGCTGATGGAAGGCTAAACCAGGACTGGGGTGGAGCTCCTGGATGAAGGGAAAAACCAGGAGTGGCTAAAGATGCAATAAGGGCCCCGAAGTCCAGTAGGCCTTTGATCTGGGATTAGGGATGAAGCCATCAGGTAAAGGTGGAGAAGTTGGGGAAACTGTAATAAGACACAATTTTCAAAGCCTGTCAGATCCATGGGTTTGAACTGGAAGGATGATTTATCCAAATCATTCAATCAGAGACTGTGCTATTCATTCCCTCCAGCAGCCTCTGCTAAACTATTCTTTGGGCTGATTCAGCCTCCTACTCAGGAGAAGCAAAGTAACAGTCCATGCACCCACCCCACACTGCCACTGCCAAAAATCTGATCATCCATTTTCTGGAGCTAACCCTCCCAGAAACCACACTCTGCTCACCCCTTGTGCTGAAAAATAAATGGAAAACCCTCAAACCACCTGATGATTATTTTGTTTGGCCCATTGCTATTAAAAAAAAAAATCTCCCAATTCCTTGTTGGATGATTGTTCTTAATGCTGAGCACCAGCCTTGGTTTTGGAGCTATTAAGCCATGTGTTAAATGTGAGTGAGAGTTGGGTTTAGGATCGCTGGGGGAAATCCACCCCATTTCTGCTATTGCTCTGAGCAGAGCCATGCCCTGAGCAGGAAGTGTGGGATGAGCACTTTGGGATGCTCTCAGCATGGCAGAGCTCACAGGCAGAGCTCATTGAAGCTGGGGAGGCTGAAATGCCACAGGTTTGGGTCTGGCCCTGCAGTTTCACAGAATGTCCTGAGTCAGAAGGGATCCACAAGGATCATCGAGTCCAGATCCTGGCCCTGCACAGACACCCAACAACCCCAGCCTGTGCTTGGGAGCATTAAGGTCCTTGAGCTTTGGCAGGCTTCAAACCTGAGCTTTTGTGGAGCAGGACGAGGTGGATAAGTGAGGAGATGCAAATGCAGATTTCACTCTGAGGCAAACCAGAGAAATGAGTTGCTGCCGTTTTCTGTGGTTTTTTGCCCGGTCAAATACCACAATCAACACACAAGAGCATTATAACCAACCCAGAGGCAACTCTGTGGCAGAAAATAAAGGCAAGCAGATGAAAGAAACCCTCTTATTCTTAATTTACTCCAGTTAATTTTAGTCTAATTTGATCACAATGTTCTTCTGTAAATATCAGCCCTTCTTTAATAAGGCAGCGTTGGCCACAGAGGCTGCGATTGCGATGTAATCACCCGGTGTGTCGTAAAAGACTTTCTCTGTTAATTGTTAGGAGGATCTGGAGCTATTCTGAGCCAGGTATGGGATTGCAAAGAGAGATAATTATAACCTGATCTAATTAGTAATTATAACAGACCTCTCCTAGAAATTATTTTTTACTTAAATATTCCCCTGGTCGTCCTGAACAGCTGTCTGTGGTGCCGGGACAGGGTGAGGGCACTGGGCTGCTGTGTCCCTGTCCCCATGGCCTCACCCAGGGATGTGATGGAGCCTCAGTCTTGGCATCAGCCAGGGGAGGGAGCAGGGAGGCAGCAGGCAGAGCTGAGACAGGAGAGGGTGCTCTCACCCAGCAATGGAGCCGTGGAGGGACAGGGGGGCTCGCAGGGTGAGGGGTCCTGCTGCCTCCACCCACATCCCAGGAATTCTGCTCCTCCCGGAGTCTGCAACAGCAGCAGGAACCAGAAAGGGTTTAGGGGAGATGGGAAGGCAGAGGCTGTACAGAAAGCTGGGAGCAGGCTGGGAATGGCTCCCGTTTCATTTTTTCAGTTGTGTTAATGGACACAATCCCCCCAAACCTTCCTGTGACACAGCTCCGAGCCCAGGGCAGAGCCAGGGGGTCTCGGCCACAGCACATCACAGGAGATGTCCAGGTCCAGAGAGGCAGCGGGGCACACCCAGGTGTGACAGCTTTCCAGATGGGTGGCATTGGATGAACTGGTTTTGTCCCGGTGGAGGTCTACCCAAATCTATTGTTTTTCAGTTCAGTTCAGTTGTAGCAGAATCCTTCATTCCAAAAGGGAAACTTTCCAGACCTCTGCAATTTTCCTCTCCCACTCTTCTTGCTGCCTCTGCACAGCCAAATGTATCTCTGAACAGCAAAATACCTCCAGGTGCTGCCTGGGGAGCTGAGACAGAAACCAACAGTGCCAGGAAATGAAGCAGCCCGACCTGAGGAGCCTCTGCATAGAAATCCTTGCTCCAGGAGGTTTCCTGAACCTGTATCCCCCTTTTCAGCTCTTCCAGAGGCACCACCCAGAGCAGTGGCTGCTCCCTTTCCTCCCCACCCCAACACCATCCTACTGTGGATCCTTGTGATGCCCTGGGGCCACACAAAGTGCTTTGGAGGAGTTGCACAGCTCAGCCTCTGCAGCAGGGACAGGCAGGACTTCGCTGCCAACCTGCCCAGATTGCCAAGAAATGGTGCAACCTCAGGAATTAGGCAGAAAAGTATCAACAAGCAGGAAACCTCAGCGATGGAGGGGGAGCTGTCCTGAGGTGGTCCTTTCTGCAAAGACAGGGCTGGGAGATTCAAGGAGTAATTAAACACAGCTACTGAAAGATGGCCTTAAAGGATTTAATCTCTGAAATCCAGGCTCTAATTACAGGGCTGCACCAATTCTGACCCTGAACTATTTTTTAATCGAGTTATTTCTTCCAAGCAGAGCCGTCTCCAGGGGCTCGCCCGGGCAGCAGCGTTAGCTCACAGCTGGGAATGGGCAAACTAGGCCAGCACTGCGGGAATTCTCTGGAATTGGTTTTTTCTGCACGTCTCAGTATCATTCCAGCAGGGAATACCCGCAGACAGGAGCCTCTGAGCAGCACACGTGTGTGTGAGAGAAGCAGGAAGCAGCAGGTGAGGCATGGGGGTCACTGTGCCCCTGTGTCCAGAGGGATGCTGCTCTGAGAGAGGGATGCTAAAGCTGGAGCACGATGTTAATTTGAGAGTACGATGCTGATCTGAGAGTGGGATGCTAATCTCAGACTAGCATGCTAACCTAAATCTGGGATGCTAAACCAGGGGCAGGACATTAATTTGAGAGCATGATGCTAATCTGAGAGTGAGATGCTAATCTCAGACTCACATGCTAATCTAAATCTGGGATACTAAACCAGGAGCAGGATGCTAATCTGAGAGCAGGATGTTAATTTTAGAGAGGGATACCAATCCAATACCAGGGATGATAATCCAAGAGCAGGATGCCAGTCTGAGTGCAGGATGTTAATTTTAGAGTGAGATACCAATCTGAGATCAGGATGTTAATCTGAGAGCAGGGTACTAATCTGAGAGGGGGATGTTCCATTGAGAGCAGGATGCCAGTCCAAGAGCAGGATGTTAATCCAAGACTGGGGTGCTAATCCAAGCACAGAGATGCCCATTTCCCAACCCACAGTGCCATCTCTGGAACAAAAGGAATCCCCTGAAGCACCTTGCTGTGGTTCAGCTGCTGTTGCTGTGTGTGGATGGATGGATCACCACCTCCACCTCCACATCCATCCCGAGCTGGCCTGGAGCAGGATGTGCTGCATCCTGCTGTGCTATCACCATGGCTCCCACCTCTCTAATCAAGGCTCCTCACTCCCAGACAGAGCTGCTGACCTTGATCCCTTCCAGTTCGAGGCCCCTCCATGGCAAAGTGAGTCAATTAAGTCCTGGTTCACAGAGAGGGCTAAAAACAAGGAGGGAGGAAAAAAGAAGTGCCCAACAACAACAAAAATCTGCACTCCTGAGAACAATTTCCTTCTATGGATTTTTAAGACCAGCGGCTGGAGAATCACTTTCTCGTTTCTGTGCTGTCTCTCCAGTCAATAAATAAGAGGGAAATAAAGGATTTCAGAGAAAATAGAATGCAGTCAAAAGGTAAATTGTGGTCTTAAAAGCCCCTAAGAGACTGTCACCGACTTTGAAATGTTTCCTAGTTTGAGACCATTTCTTCCTGACTACATGGTTTCCGCTCCTTTATTTGCATCTCTGGGAGGTAATCTTTAAAACTGATTTTCCCCTGGTTGCATTTCATTGGCAAAGAAACTAAACAGGCTGCTGCATTACAGTAATAACATCAACACTGCAGCCACCTTCGCCTTAATTATTTCTCTGTCTTGCCAACAGAACCAGTTAAACGAGATTTATATTTAGGTGGGGAGGAGGGGGGTGAAGTGGCAAGTGTGTGGATGGGTGAGATAACCTGGAAAAACCGATTTCTCCCTTGTTATATGTCACCAGCAGTAAAAAAATGGTAAAAAAATAATAAAAAATACACGAGGTAAAAGGTTTGGGCTATTTAAGTAATAATAATGTCAGCATTTCACCTGTCTCTTGCTTAATTATTTCCTTCTCTCAGCTCTGCCACCTGAACCAGTTTAGATAAGATTTCAGTGTGGATAAAGAGGAAGAACCTGTATTCTCCAAAGCAGATAAGCTGCTTTTTCCAGTCAAAAGGAAGAGAATACGTCACTAAAGCCTTCCTGCTGCCTACTCCAGATTTATCAACAGCCTCTTAGCAAAAGTCTTGCCACTAAAAGCTTGTGAAGTTTTGCAAAATACTACCAGATAAGAGAGAAGCACTTGTAAAGACAAGAAAGAGGCTGGATGTGCAAAGTAGCTCGTCACAATCCGTGTCCAGCCAACACACGTTCAAGGTCACCCCAAAAAGCCCCAGGGAGGGGAAAACCTGTGTTTAAGGAGAGTGCACAGGCTCTGTGAAGGTCTCCTTGCACATGCAGGATGTCCAAGCTGCCCTCTGAGCTGTGCTTGAAAGTCAACTTCTTCCAGACCTGCTGCTCTGTCCTTTTAGGTCTCCCTCCTTTCCAAGGCATCCACATCCACCTTTGCCCATCACCAAGGGGCTGTAGGACAGCGCTGACTTGTCAGGAAAAGAGCTGGATGGAACATAAACCCATAGAATCCCAGAATCCCAGAATGGCTTGGGTTGGAAGGGACCTTAAAGATCACCTTGTTCCAACCCCCTGCCATGGGCAGGGACACCTTCTATCCAACCAGGCTGCTCCAGAAAATCCCAACTGCCACCCTCCCTCCTATCCACCTTCACTGTAAATACAGCTTTGATCTTCCATCTGGTTCTCTCTCTTTATTGACATCACAGAGGTGAGAGAATCTCAGAATCCCAGACTGGTTTAGGATGGGAAGAACCTTAAAACCCATCCAGTTCCACCTCCTGCCGTGGGCAGGGTTACCTTCCACCAGACCAAGTTGCTCCAACCAAGCCTTGAACACTTCCAGGGATGGGGCAGCCACAGCTTCTCTGGGCAATCCTCAGAAGGAAGAATTTCTTCCCAATATCCAACCCAAATCTCTCTGAGTTTAAAGCCATTCCCCCTTGGAGCCCTTGCAGGGAGGGAGAGGAGGTGGGACCCTCGTGCCCTGGTGGGTTGGGATTCCCAGCTGTTGGGAAGGATAAGGATTTGACAGGAAGGTCTCACAGATGTGTGTGTATAACAGAAAGATCTTTGAATGTAGAGTCTGAAGAAGAACTATGATAGCCAGTTTTGATACAGAAGAAAAGAATTGCTGAGCCAGTCTTACTGGATAACTAAGAAGCCAAAGGGTAAAATGAGTTGGAAGGGGTTTTTAGGACTCAGAGTAAAGGATAAACCCACCTCAAACTGAAGATGTTTTTATCAAGCAAAAAGATTTTCACAGGCAAACAAAAATGCCATGTTGCAAGTAGAAAGAAAGATCTCAAAATTTTCCACTGCAAGGAAACTGAGAAACAACTTCTAGCTTAAACTGTAACACATTAACTTTTTGTGACTGGAATGTAGTAACACAAATATGGTAATGTCAGTAGTTATGATAGGCTATAGGTAATAGTAAAGGTATGGATTGGTTGTCATGTTTTAAGATGCTCTGTAATGGAAAGTATCTAATGCATTGTAACCAGAGCTAGAGCTGGCTTCAGACGAACCCACAGCTGATGCTGAAAAAGCTGTGGGCTGGGCTCTTGTCACCTACAATTCTTGTGAAATGCTGTATCCTCTGGATACAATAAACAGAATTTTAAAGAGCAACCTAAAGTCCTGCATCCCTCCTTTCAACTCTTACACCCGGCTCTGGATGGCCCGTGCTCCCAGCCAAGCCCAGCCAAGCCCCGTGTTGTGCCTGTGCCAAGGCTCCTGGCACTGCAGATGGGCCTGGAGGCCTGTGTGCAAACATTGCCCCACACCTCGAGGCAGCCGTGAAGCCACGGCAGGCTCTGGAACCCATCCATGCACAGGAGAGGGCTGGGCTGAGCGCAGGGTGAGACGCTCTTGGCTGCTCTGCACGGCACGACACCTCTGCTGCTGCAGAGAAGCATTTTAAAAGGCAGAGAAGCGGCTCCCTGGTACAAAGCCAAGAGTTTTTCCTCTGCTTGTACTGCAGAGTTTACTTTTATTATACAATTTTCACCCTTCATGGCTCAGATGTTTTGGCTGCGTTTCATTGCTGACCCACAGGCCAATCCTCAAAGCAGTATTTGCTCAGGGTTTTGCGTGTGTGTGGCTTTAAAGTTCTTTTTTTTTTTTTTTTTTTTAATACATTCAGTGTGGGAAAAACTTTTTTTTCTTGATTTATAACAGGCAGGGGAGTGATGATGGATTTTTGTGCTGGAAGGCAGGAGAGCAGGAGATGAGGAGGGTGAACCTGAACAATCTGGGATAGTGGAAAGAGTCCTGCCCTGGCAGAAGGTCGGAATGGGGTGACCTTTAGGGTGCCTTCCAACCCAAACCAGTGTGGGATTCTGTGACTCTGTGGTGCTTCCTGGGCTATGATGTATGTGCAGGCAGAGCAAAGCCCTCTCTGCAGGAATTGTGCTTGTTCCTGTTCTCTGCTGCTGATCCATGAGGGCTGAGAAACTTCCCCAGGAGTCACCTCCCAGCTCTGTGCTCTCCTTATTCCCCCAAACCTGGATGCTAATTGGCTGCTCCTGCTGCATCCAGCAGCGGGGCTGGCTTTGTCCCCATGGCTCTTCCCACACAGCCACCCTGCTGCTGTTTTTGCTTCTGAGCTCCTCCAGCTTCCCTTCCCCGGCCTTGCCTTCCCACCCTGCCTCACGCCTGATTATATTGGGTCTGCATGTGTAAGTACAGCCTCCTGCCATCCTAATCATCCAAAGTGGCTATTTGAATAACAGTTGTTGGTGCCTGTAGCTTCCTGTAATTTTCCAAAGGAAACAAATCCATGCAGACTGCAATTTTGCGCCTATGAATTTTGAATGAATGTCTCTGAGAGCCTCGATTTCTCTCTGCCTTCCGTCCTCTCCTCCCTTCCCCTCGCCTGCCTCCCAGGCTCAGCTGAGCCAGAGGCTGCCACCAAAGGGGCATAAATGAGTTGCTCCTTTCAGGTGGAGGATTTTGGGCTGGGAAGGCTTCATCCCTCCCAGGACAGAGCCCAAAACAAGGTGACATGGGCAGGGCTTGCTAGGGGACAGCTGAGTTGCACCCAGCCCATGGGAACAGATTTGCTCCACAGCAGGACAAAGCAGAGCATGGAAGAAGCAGCATCATTTGGGTAACAGGTGTTGGGATTTTTCCTCATGTTGTTACCTCCAAAGTAATTTTGGGAGGTCCCTGACCACCCAGCTCTGATGTTACCCATGCATTGGGGCTGTTCCTGCTGGCCAAGCTCTTCACCTTCTAACTCAGAGCAGCTGGAGGACATTTCTCCTCCAGAGCTGATCTTCCTGATGGCAACTGTCCCTATTTATTGTGGAATAATGGAAAGGTTTGGGTTGGACCGGACCTTAAAGCTCCTCTGTTCCACTCCCCTGCCATGGCAGGGACACCTTCCGCTATCCCAGGTTACTCCAAGCCCTGTCCAACCTGGCCTTGGACACTTCCAGGGATTGGGAAGCTTCTCTGGGCACCCTGTGGCAAGGCCTCCCCACCCTCATAGAGAAGAATGTTTTCCTAATATCCAACCCAAACCTACTCTGTCTTTTAAAAAAACATTACAACCTTCTCCCTCTCAAGTCTCCCCTCCTGTTCCTCTGTATGCCATTTTATGACACTGAGGGTTCTCCTTTTTTTTATAACGTTGTTTTTAAAGTGTTTTTATCACCTGGTTTTATTACAAAATTACCGTAGAGCACCCCAAGTACTGTAGGAGCAAGGAGGGAGAGCGGCTGTGGAAATGCAGCAACTCCTTCCTGAGCAGCTTGCAGCCTCGCCAGGAACGGGGTTGTGATTTGGTGATGGATGGAGTGCCTGTTATCCAGTATATTTTTATCCATATATATATATATATAAAGCACTTTGTGATCCCAGTGGATACAAGGCACTATATAAATGTAAATCATTATCATTATCATTAAATACCTTCTGTATCTTTAAAAACAACCAGTTGGAATCAGATACATACAGGGCAGCTGCTCTCTGGGTTTTGCTGGGGAACCAAATGTGAGAGCTGTGATTTTTGTCTTCGTTAGCAATTAAATGGGATCTCATGAAAGACTCTCATTTTTCCGTCGCAATTTTTTCATGCTGCCACTGATTTGAAAGTCACTTCTCACCCACTAGGAGGAAATCTCTGCAGAATTCCCTAGCAACAACCTGATTAAGAAACAGCCACCTCGGGTATGAGGATGTTCCTGGGATTATCCGAACCCACCTCAGCGCCGTGGGGATGGGAGGGGATCCACGGGGTCACGGGGAGGAGAGTTCAGCTCCTCCCTGATTTATGGCTCAGTGGAGGTTACAGACACTTGTCACCACAGCTGTGACTCTGCAGTGTTTCTGCTGCCCATCCCCAGGGATGAGTGACTGCACCAAGCTCCTGGATGCCCTCCTGTCACAGCCAGAGCTGCAGTGAGTGCAGGGATCATATCCATCACCCAAAGGCTCCTGTTCCTCACCCTGCTCCTTTTTCCTGCTCTTTATGGGAAGGATTTGAGCCTGAGGGACCTGAAGGATTGCACATGGAGGCTTTGGCACCACAGAAATGACCCCAGGCCGGGTGTATTTCTGTTGAGGCCAGAAATGACCGGGTTCCCTTTTTGCCCATAGGACAAGCCAAGCAGGCAGCACTCTGACAGCCCCTGCCCCGATTTTCCTCCCTTATTTGGTTGCTAAATCCTGTCTTCCTTCCTGCACTTCCAGGAAAACCACCCAGTGGCAACTACTGAGAGCATCTCCCAGTGGGAATTCATCTCCAGCTGTATTATCCTAGAATCCAACATTCTGGAATGGTTTGGGCTGGGGGAGACCTTAGAGATCCCCTCTAGAGATCCTCTCTTAGAGATTCCAACCCCCTGCCATGGGCAGGGTCACATTCCACTGGACCAGGTTGCTCCAAGCCCTATCCAACCCGGCCTTAAACCTCATGTTTGGGAGCCAGAAGCCTGGTCTAAGATAAAAGTGCACTTTTCAGTGCATTTTTTTAATCCTTCTGATGCTCCATTGGCATTTCTCAAAGGGACATGACTGGTGCAGGGTCAGGCCACACTCAGAACATAGTGAAGGGCAGGTCCTGACCCCAGAGATGGGGGATCAGTTGTTCTGAGCCCCCAGGGGACCGTCATCAACAGTATTTCGTTTCCCCTTGTCATGACAACCAAGGGGATGGATTTGGAAACCTTGGATGTGTCACAGGTCTGAGCCCTGGCCTTTAAACTCCACTGACCTGCAAGCAGTGGCTTGCAAAGGTTTTGCAATATTTAGTTAATGGAACAAGGTTTTTCCTAGTTCTCTATTTTTTTCTCATTTTTTTCATTCTATTTTCTCCAGCCTCTCAGGAGCTGCAGCCTCCTGCTGCCCAGGGGAAATCTTCCATTTAGCTACATTTTCCTTTCTCATTTCATGCTGTAATGGGGATTCATCATAGGTGTTAAATCCATAATTTGCCATGAATCCCTTGTCTCTCTCTGTGGAGGTCAGAGTTGAGTTTAAAGGAACCTGATATTGTGGCTGCCCCTGGGGGAGAGCACCAGCCCAATTCCCTGGAGCAAGAACAGGAGGCTGGAGGGTCCTGGGTGGCTCATCCAATGCTTTCCACCTTTCTTTGCCTGCTGAAGGGGGAAAATTTGAGCACATCAGGCACCTTTAATGTAAAAGAAAAAAGAGTTATAGCCCCTTCCAGAGGATCATTTGTCCATCTTGGCATGTGAGAAATATCCTGAGGCAGGAGAGGTTATTCTTCTGTTAATTACCAAGAACACCCACAGGTCAGTCATTAAGATACGACTATTCAGTTTTACAGCCCACTTGGAGCCAAAAGGAATGTCACAGCTCCAAACCCATCCCAGTCCTCCTGCTGGATGGGAGGCTGGCATTCATCATGCTGACAGGGCACCAAAAGTGAGGGGCACTGGGAAGGCACCGTGATGGATGTGTAACAGAGAGATCATCATGGAGCTCCCAACCCTTCCTTCACCACGAGCTGGGAGATACTGGGAGATGCTGGGAGATGCTGGGAGATGCTGGGAGATGCTGGGAGATGCTGGGAGATGCAGGGATCTGGAAGATGCTGGGAGCTGGGAGCTACTGGCTGAGCTGGGAAGTGCTGGCTGAGCTGGGATCTGTGCTGGGAACTGGGAGATGCTGGGAGCTGGGAGATGCTGGGAGCTGGGAGATATTGGGAGCTGGGAGATGCTGGGAGCTGGGAGATGCTGGGAACTGGAAAATGCTGGG